CGGATAAACGACGCTCTACTGTATTGATATTGAAAGAGAACTGCAATACTAATTAATTATTTCTATCATTTGGTGTATTCAAACATTAAATTAAAAGAATTTTTAATTATTAAAATAAATTTTAAACACTGAAACAAAATTGTTCTTTTTTGGTGTGATATAATTCAGTAATTGATATTCAGTAATTCAGTAATGTGATATAATTTCAGTATATTTTACTGTATTACTATTCCTTTTATTAGTATTTATTGCACTGATATTTTTTGGCTAAAAAATTCTAATATAATTGAGTTTAAAAGCCTAATCGATAACTCTAATTTCACGATTCTATTCACTTTATATTAAATAATTTAAAAAATATATGAAATATTTCATCAATAGATTTGACGATATTCCTGTACTTAAAAATCACATTCCTGTATTTTCATAATTAATCAATAATCCTATAGCATAGGTAAGAACAGGCGGAGGGGTTGTCCGCCAAAACGGCATTTTGGTATTAAAAAGATTGTTTTAAATATTTTTTTAACAATAAGAAAAGTAAAATTATCCACTATTCCCAGAGTTAACAGTTACAAGAATTATATGACTGTCATTTCAGTTTAATGTGTATTATGTATTTCCTGAAGGAAGGGCGGCAATTGACATATACATATAGATATAGGCTAATTAAACCCGTACCAAGTAATACGTTCAAAGTAGGATACAATTTCGGGTCGTCAAAACTTAAAATATATTTAGCTGGAGCAAAACATTTAATAAATTTTGCATATACCTACAAATATAAATATTATTACTTACTGAAGTTAATAATAGCTATTATAATGTTTTAAAATTTGAATGAATTACTCGTGGCGCTGTTTGTCTGGATTGACAAATGAAATTGTTGATTTCTGCCATAGTTTGAAAGAATTTCAGTTGCTGAATACAGTTTTTGTAGAATTCCAACAACTAAATGCAACATAATATTAAAATTATTATTTGCAAATCATATTTTGAAATAAAATGTTCACCTTTAGAGCACTTACAAGAAAATTTCTGTTTTCCAACAAGCAAAAATTAACATCGGCCCTATCATCATCGCTCATGGCTATAATAAGTAAAGTAATAAAAACTGTTTTAATATGTAGTTTTTCCTTACATCTTAACTGAATTTCGATAGCGTTAAACATAATATTGCTCGAAAATGAATAAAATGTCAAAATTGTCTGGAAAGTTTAATAAAATATTTTAAAACTTACCACAGTATCGTCCATTGGACTGTATAAGAGCTTTGTAAGGATCCGCAGGTTTAACATTTGTTGAATCGTGCCAACAAATAATTGGAGAAAAAGCAAAAGCAAATATAAATAACTCCAACGTAAGCTTTATATTCGTTGATGTCTTTATTACATCTGTTAAGAATTTCTATGTTGTCGGCGTATTTATATGATTTTAACAGGTAGAACTCATAGCATATTCCGCTTCTAACCGGGATAATTAAATATTATACAAGCTAAAAGGAAATAATAACATTAATCTTTACAAGACAGGAATTAATCAAGATATCAATATAACTGAGTATAAACTGTTTTTTTTATATCTAATTTGTTTTTTTACCTGTATAAAAATGCCTAAAGTAATATAAATACATCAATATCTCCGAATTCATCTAACAACATATTTATCCTATTAATAATTTTAATAAAAGAAAATGTTCGTAAAAAGTCTGTAATTAACTTAGTCATTTCTTTAATAAATTGGTTCTTTAATCGAAAAAGTATGCAGTTTATTTAAACTATAAATATATTAAAATTTATGTATTTCCATATAAAGGATTCGATTGAAAAACAGTTTTTGTTATATATACTGCAGTAAAAATTTTTTATTTATTTGTAAAATTGAAAATAGAATAAAGAAATTTTAATCTAATCGAAAAAATATTTTAAATAAATTATCTTATCATGTTTTTGTGATTAGTTATTTGCAGTTTTGGATTATAAACATAGCTTTTTTTTTGGAAATTTCTAAACTTTGAAAAATAGAAGCTATGCCGTATTCGTTGGTATAAACTTTGAGCTTGGAAGACGTTATAATAATACAAGAATATTAAATAAAATACATTGACTTTATTCTTCATAAACGTTTTGTTTGATGGGCGTACGAGTTGGAGAAGAAGCTTGACTCTTAACTGGAAAAAACAGTGGAGAAACTGCAGGCAAAGCAAGGACAAAGTACGTCAGATAAAAAAGCAAAAACTTTAATAAATTAACAGTGATGGCAAATTAGAAATCATTAAAAAATTTTGTGTTTTATTTGTGAAAAATTTCGGTACACAAAATAGGGTATTTTAATAAAAGCGTTCTTTTAATTTAAAAAAATATATATATTAAAATTATTTCAGGAGCGTTTCGTTTGTTGTAATTTGCTTTTATTTTAAGTAAATTTATTTTAGAATTAAATTCCTATTACTAATTGCTTGAACTCAATTGAGAATTTTAAACTCAGTTCAATGTCTTTTCATTTTTTTTTAACTTTTTTTCTTATCTAAATATTGTTTTAGAGATCGATTAGATAAATATGTAATTTGTTTGAGACACTTGCAACCACGAAAATGTCGTTTTTGACACTTATGTAATGAGGAAATTACTGTTAGTAAGGCAGAGGGGAATAATTTAACCGAAATTTTTCACAAATAAAACACAAAATTTTTTAATGATTTCTAATTTGCCATCACTGTTAATTTATTAAAGTTTTTGCTTTTTTATCTGACGTACTTTGTCCTTGCTTTGCCTGCAGTTTCTCCACTGTTTTTTCCAGTTAAGAGTCAAGCTTCTTCTCCAACTCGTACGCCCATCAAACAAAACGTTTATGAAGAATAAAGTCAATGTATTTTATTTAATATTCTTGTATTATTATAACGTCTTCCAAGCTCAAAGTTTATACCAACGAATACGGCATAGCTTCTATTTTTCAAAGTTTAGAAATTTCCAAAAAAAAAGCTATGTTTATAATCCAAAACTGCAAATAACTAATCACAAAAACATGATAAGATAATTTATTTAAAATATTTTTTCGCTCATTCTCCCCTAATCTGTTGTATACTAACACCTTTCTTCCTCATCAGTAGTTCAAATTTTATATCTTTTGCATTAAACAGTTTCCTATTAGATTTTCTCATGCGTTTCCCCATTTCCTCTGAAAGTACATTTAATATATATAATGTAAAAAACTTGACATAAAAGCACTGTAAGTTCATTAAAATTAGAAGATAAATTTATCTTTCATTGGTAAGTTAATATCTGTATATCGAGAGTTTCTTTAAAACTTGTAGATCACTGGGAGGCAACGAAAAAAAGGCGTGAAATGGAAGAGCGAAGGAAAGAAGTGAGTCCGCAATCACAAAGAAAAAGAATTAATGTCGCAATCTCACAATACGTAAGTTATACGTATCAAGTTGTTTTGTCAAACAAATTAATTGTTGGCTTTTTACGATGTTCTAAGTCAGGGCTTCTTAAACTTGTTTTATTCACGACCCCATTTATGATTTTTATTTATTTCGCGACCCCAAAAAAATATAAAATAAAGATATATACAAATTTGCAAAAACAATAATGGTGTACTACCACAGTTCACTCTTGTGTTACAATGGAACAGAGACAACTGAATACACTGAAAAGCGACAACACTACACTAGTTCACACTACAGTGTTACTGAATCGTTGTCTCGCTGCACCAGAAGTGACACAAAGCGCAACTCACGAAACCTATGAGACAAAGTGTGCCATTTTCAAACTGTCACAAATTATTTTAAATATTTTGCATTAAAATCTCGCGATCCCAAGATTTCGCTAAGCGACCCCAAATGGGGTCGCGACCCATAGTTTAAGAAGCCCTGCTGTATATGAATAAAACCAAACTTTTTTAGAGTCCCAAAAACTCGAGGCCTGTGCCAAATATCCCTTACATTTTTAGCCACCGGATATGATTTAATGTTAATTTAGTTTTTACCAGTTCTCTAGGCTCCTCGTTTCCTTGTAATTTGTATCCTCTTCTCTCTCGACGGCTCTAAATGTCGATTTCCAATCTTTCGAATTTTCTGTCAGAGCTCAGAATCCATTTTTATCACCTATTATTTAACTTAGCCATAAGATAAATCTAATTTTTTACTTTCTCAACTCTCCATACAACTAATTTTAGATAAGATTTCGATACTAATCTTTTTTCTATTCGATTAATTACATTATAAAAGCGCTACAACTCATCATCCATTAAATTAACAAAGCAGCAACATTTTACCAAACCGGCCACAATTAATTAAATTGCGTGTAATGTAAAACTTTAAATTTCGAATAATAAAGATTACATTTCATAGTAAATTTATACGTAATTAAAAATATTATTTAATAATTTTGTAAAACAAAAAAAATAAAAAAGAAATACCTCTGTACCAAATTTCCTTCTTAGGCATTCTTGTTTACACTATAGCTTTTTCATGCAGCATATCGATCCCTTTGTCTATAGATCCGTTTCTAAATAACATCATGCAATACACAATTTATACATTATTTAAAGAATAAAAGGAAAATATTTTAAATTAATCTGACACGGTTACATCATTCTAAACAATAAGTAAAATATTTTTAAAAACAAATAAATTATCCTCTTACACAAAAATACATCTAGACAATATATTGTTTACTTTAAAATAATTACTACTCAGATATTCGGAACATCAACATTTTATTCATCAAATTGTTTATTTTATTTAATTTTTTTTAAATTTTTTTTTTGGATAATAATCACATAATTTAACCACAACTACAACATTAGAATTCTTTCTAAAGTACAATAGTACAGGGTAGATAAACAGTAGTGAAATTTATTTAATTTTTATTTTAATTATCTTACCTTAAATCTACATTATTTTTTTTATGTTTTATCCTTTAATCTAGACTTATTTAAACTTAAAATTTGTACATTAAAATTAGATTTAGTATCTATAAAAAGATTCTTCCTATTCTCGGGGTATCACTCTTAATAGATGGTGATACATAACATCATATTCTTTGTATGTATGTATGTATGTATATATGCGTGTATAATTTCTCCTCCAAATCAGGATTTCTATATTATATTTTAATCTAATTATAACTAATTACCTTCCGTTTAATAAACAAACGAGGATGGAATCGATAAACACGAAAGACAATCTAAAAAAGAGAGATTTGAAGTGATTTTTCTTGTTTTTTTTTGGACACGTTACACATCTTGACGGACTTTCAATGGATGGTTTGTGACGTAAGTAATAAATACACCAGTAGCCCCCAACAATATCGATTGAAGGAGCGATTTTATCAATGCTTTTGATTGCAGATCAGCGGCGAATATTGCCAAAATAACCCCGAAAATCCGGGAAAAAATCATCAACGTTTATCACGAATTAAAATAGGAAATTCATATTTTAATTAATAACTTCACGTAAACTCCAAGATAAAATTTAAAAAATCTTACGATTTAACTCTCCTAAATTCAAGTTGGNCAGTTTATACTCAGTTATATTGATATCTTGATTAATTGGTTTAATGACTTATAACACGACAGGATAACAACTACAAAATCATTTACGACCTTTTAATTAATAAGGATATGCTGAATTCCGCCGAACAAAACAATTTACTTTTTATATACATTTTTTTTAATTGATCGATTTTAATAATCAAATGATTTTGTCTACATGAATATTTTTTCAAATTAAAATAAATTGGAATCGATTATTAATAGCGTAGGTTTGATGATAAAACGTGTCAATATCTTTATTGATCAGAAATATTAAAAAAATGAATTCCTGTCTTGTAAAAATTAATGTTATTATTTCCTTTTAGCGTGTGTAATATTTAATTATCTCGGTTAGATACGGAATATGCTGTGAGTTCTACCTGTTAAAATCATATAAATACGCCGACAACATAGAAATTCTTAACAGATTTAATAAAGACATCAACGAATATGAAGCTTACGTTGGAGTTATTTATATTTGCTTTTGCTTTTTCTCCAATTATTTGTTGGCACGATTCAACAAATGTTAGACCTGCGGATCCTTACAAAGCTCTTATACAGTCCAATGGACGATACTGTGGTAAGTTTTAAAATATTTTATTAAACTTTCCAGACAATTTTGACATTTTATTCATTTTCGAGCAATATTATGTTTAACGCTATCGAAATTCAGTTAAGATGTAAGGAAAAACTACATATTAAAACAGTTTTTATTACTTTACTTATTATAGCCATGAGCGATGATGATAGGGATGATGTTAATTTTTGCTTGTTGGAAAACAGAAATTTTCTTGTAAGTGCTCTAAAGGTGAACATTTTATTTCAAAATATGATTTGCAAATAATAATTTTAATATTATGTTGCATTTAGTTGTTGGAATTCTACAAAAACTGTATTCAGCAACTGAAATTCTTTCAAACTATGGCAGAAATCAACAATTTCATTTGTCAATCCAGACAAACAGCGCCACGAGTAATTCATTCAAATTTTAAAACATTATAATAGCTATTATTAACTTCAGTAAATAATAATATTTATATTTGTAGGTATATGCAAAATTTATTAAATGTTTTGCTCCAGCTAAATATATTTTAAGTTTTGACGACCCGAAATTGTATCCTACTTTGAACGTATTACTTGGTACGGGTTTAATTAGCCTATATCTATATGTATATGTCAATTGCCGCCCTTCCTTCTTATCAAAAAAATATTTAAAACAATTTTTTAATGCCAAAATACCGTTTGTGGCGGACCACCCTTCCGCCTGTTCTTACCTATGCTATAGTATTATTGATTAATTATGAAAATACAGGAATGTGATTTTTAAGTACAGGAATAGCGTCAAATCTATCGATGAAATATTTCATATATTTTTTAAAATTATTTAATATAAAGTGAATAGTATCGTAAAATTAGAGTTATCGATTAGCCTTTTAAACTCAATTATATTAGAATTTTTGCCAAAAAATATCAGTGTAATAAATACTAATAAAAGTAATAGTAATACAGTAAAATATACTGAAATTATTCGCACTTTCACACCCAAAAAAAAAACAATTTTGTTTCAGTGTTTAAAATTTATTTTAATAATTAGAAATTTTTTTAATTTAATGTTTGAATACACCAAATGATAGAAATAATTAATTAGTATTGCAGTTCTCTTTCAATATCAATACAGTAGAGCGTCGTTTATCCGAAGGTCGGTTATCCGAAACGTCGGTTATCCGAAGGAATTTCAGTCGACAAATTTAAATTTTCGCCAGTGCTGTGGCGCTGTAATCTTTGGCTATGTCTTCGGCTACTCAAATATTTTNTATCAATATTAACTTTAAACTTTTTATATTGAAAAATATTGTCAAATATCTTGTAACTCATTTCAGTATTAAATTGTTTTTTATAAAAGATACATTAAGAAGTAATTTTCATAATATAGTCATAAAAATCGTTTTGGAAAATATTAATAGAATCTATTTAAAGAGTTCTAGAATAACTTTTTTAACTTTAACTTAACTTTTTTGTATAATTCTTGTGTAATTTAGATTATTTCTTATATTAATACTTTATTTGTTTTTTCTAGAAATGTTACAACCAAATAGAAAATCGTTCACAGAAATCAATAACATTAGATCATCCACATCAACAGAAATCAATAACATTAGATCATCCACATCAACAGAAATTTGTATTGATCTAAATTGTTCTTAATGATTGCTGTTTAAGTTAGATTGCCAAACCGTTTTTTGAATAAATTTTTATTTTAAATTAATATTTGTTTGAAATTATTCAATAATTTTTCAAGATTTTACAATACTTATTTTTTTTTCATTTTGTAATTTTCTCTATTCGGAATTTTTCGATTATAATTATCTAAAAATATATTTTTTTAAACATTTTAACTTAAAGATATTCGAATCTAAAATGTAATTTTTGTTTCGATAAACAGAAACCGCCTTATATACTAGTTATGTAAAGTTTTATTACTTTTGATCTTAAAAGTTCATCTTCGGTATAGTTACATCCGCTCGTGACAATTAAAATAAATTTTCTTTATAAGCATATAAAATCGTATAAGAATCAAAATCAACGTACTCATTACATGTGATTTTCTTATAAGTTCTTTCATTCATCGTTTTCGTGAAAAACTTTCTATTCTGAAAGTTATCATCATCGTTCGGATTGAGAGAATAAAATTTAAAAAAAGTAACTAAGCTTGACCATGAAGGCCGGGCATTTTGCTCCTCTTTCCCACGGACATAGCATTGAAAGTTTGACATTGTATTTCGATCAGGAAATTGCCTGATGAATGTTATCTTCTTGTTTTTCGTATAACGGGTAGAATATTATCGTTAATTCTCAATGTCGTCTTCGAGAATTTCTTCTTCTATAAAGCGCAGTTTATTGACAACGTTTTCGTCTTCGGGTAATCTCACTAACACGTTGTCGTCAATTGATATGTCAGGATATAAGCGGTTGTTTACTACAAGTCATGACAAAGCACAGAGTACAGTACGTTATTTTGCCCAACTCTAAAGTCTCGATTGCACGATGGACCTGTACGTCTCACCAAAAGGACGTTCACTTCTGATGAAAGCGACGTTGCAAATTTTTGGATATTTCATAATGTTGCTACTGTATCGATATTGTCTAGCATCTCCTGCAGCGCAAACTTTGTATACATTTAACATAGACTGAATGCGAGCGATTTGTCTTTTTCTCTATTTGTGTGAGACCCGGAAGTTCTGGCTAATTTCCAGGTTCCATGTTATTCGACTGCATTTTGTGGCTTCTTCATACAAGCTTTGCAAATAGGTCCAAATCTGCCATCCACTAGCTGTGATCGTTTGCAGTTTGGACATGAGTACGAAAGACCACGTATAAATACGTTTAAATAATGTCAAAGCTGTATGTCTGACATACTGCAAGACAAATCACGTCGGTCTATCTCTTGCATTACTTGCTGTTGACTCGTTGTTTGTTCATTGGTCAACAGTCATATTTTGTCTTCTTTGTCTGAAATAAAATGTATCGGTTGTAGTACAGTCGATTCTTGCTCTCGTTCTTCGCGGCATTAGAATATGTAGTTATACGCTACGCTGTTGTTTATAAGGTACACAGATAAGGAAGAAGCTGACCTAGGCTCAAATTTCTTTTCTAAATTCGCTAATAATTGATTCGTAATTTGATTTATCTTTACCGCGAGCCAAGATTCAGACTACTCATTCTCTCCATGCGTACCTGACGGATGAGTGTCGATTGCCGAGCCCAAGCTCGCAACCCAATTTCGCGTTTTTCCTGTTAACTGTTCGATTGTCTCCTCTCGCGTCGCGATTTTTAAAAAATCTAAAAGGAATAATAATACCAATTGCACCATTTTTGTCACCCAGAAGATACAGATCATTGTACCATATTTTTACTTTCCCGGCTGTTATGGCAATCGGTCAAAAAATGACTCCCCAGATTTTTACATTTTTGGACTTAGAACACTATGAAACGTCCAGAAATGCAAACAAATTTGGGGTATTTTCTGTATGTATGGATGTGTGTGGGGGATGATTTTATTTACTCTTTTTGGAGCTTAATAACTCCTGTGCTTTTTGTTGAAAATTTCTGAAATATTGCAAGAAGGTTTGTGTATTAAGAGGATTGTTGTTTTTAAATTTTCTTGGTTAAAGGTCGAGGGGGTGTGGAGATAATGGCAATCGTGCGTATCTTCAGTAGTAATGAAAAGTCCTGCTACCGAGAATGTCCTTTCCGATTCAATTGATATGGGCGGAGTCGTCTTTAATGCATTTAAGAAAAGACAGATGTTATGTGTCTTTTTCACCTGTAGCCTGAAAGATTTCTAGTTCGTTTTCGAGATTTGTTGCATTACTTCTTTTGCTGTCTAGTATTCTTGATTTGTCTATTTCAGCTGTTTTAATAGCAGCATCGAGCTTATAGCCCGATAATTCGGCAATTCGTTTGGCTTTAATAATCAGGTTTATGAAGAAGAACTTCATACTTGCATACTTCATACTCGTCTGATCCTTGCCCAATTTGCACAACGTGGCATAATGCAGTTATTGATGCTACTGGGCATGATTATAAATTAAGAGAGCATCAGCGCAATTATTCAAGGTTCTAACAAGTAAATAATTTTCAGAGGCTGTCACAAATAGGCTACAAATTGACAATCTGTGACATGCCGTAACAAGCAAAACATTAAAAAACTAAGCTGGCTTAAAATTAATAAATACAAATGTATTCTGACAGTTTATCAGTTAATTATATTTGCAAAATTTCCTCAACCTTAACACAAAATAAGAAAAAAGTGAACTTTTAGAAATTTGAGAAATTTCCCGGAATGAGAAGAATTCTCCGAGATATTTCCCGGGTTAAAAAGACGTCGGGATCCTGTTAGAGAAACCCTAGAAGAGGCGATCCTTATACATGTCACACGCGGACTGGTAACTTGCCGCCACAAAACAGGCGATCCTTGCACTGGCCGGGTACTGAGAGACAATGCTTACGCTTCCCGACACGGAGAAGCAATCCTAGAACAAAGCAATCGATGACGATTGTTTTGTTCTGTGTTGTTCGTTTATAGCGACCATTTTCTGTTAAGCACACCCAATGATGTTTTTATTTTTGACCCCTAGATCTAAATTCCATTTGATACGCTCAGTCCCATCAGAGAGCACAGACATTGTGACGATAAGGCTAATATCAGACGAGCGTGATTTCACGTCCGTCGTTTTCATCACAGAATGGACATCACAGAATGGCAAAAACATACGGAACGCGGACTCGTAAAATGTCGCTGCGCTGCACGGACGGGTCACAGGATCGTCATGACAGAGCGTGACCGTCGCGCGCCAGGAGATGCGCTCGAAGCCTACTGTTCATTCATTCATTCATTTATTTTTAACATGTAGTATTTACATATTTCCTGACCCCGCTGAGGCATTATCAGGAGAGAAACATTACAATAAATTTAAATTAACANCTACTGTTGTCGGACGAACTCTAAAAACGACGGACGAGGAAACATTGTTCGGAAAAAATGCCATTGTGTCGTCCCTGCCATTTTTTAAAATACGCGGTTCCCGCGTATTTTAAAAAATGCACATTGATAAAACTGAAATGATCGTACAAATTAGTCAGGAGCCGCAATTTTGAGAAACTTCATTTTAACTTTATAAAGACAGAAATAAGAAAAAGAAAGGCCGGTTACAATCAAAAGGACGTGCCTAATATCTGTTTTTTGTTTGTTTGTTTGTTTTTAAATACTTCTGTACGTAATTAAAAAAGCGCAGTGCAATTTACCAGATCCGTGACCCATACGCATTGAAAACAAAACTGACTACTGACGCGTTACGTAAAATATAGCGCTCGTCTAGCGACCGACTTCGCCACCATAAATTGAAACAACAGCGTCGTCCTCTTCACGCTCATCTGACATTAGCCTTATACACAGTAGCGTAGCGTGGGTGTCAGCCGCCCGGGGCAGAGGAAAATTCGCCCCCCTTATTTAGGTATCTCAATTTAAAAGACTAAAGTGCAGTTTCGTCACAGAATAAGTAATGAAAAATTCCGTGCACATTTCAATCGGTCCGAATTGTAGGTGCGACAAAAATATGAAATGAAATGGTTCAAATTTTTACAAGATATTATTATTATTTATTGTGAAATTTTGCCGCCCCCTAAAAGTGCTGCCCGGGGCGGACCGCCCCTGCCGCCCCACTACGCTACGCCACTGCTTAAATATCTCTCCGTATATCGAAAACTAAGACGTGGGCGCCTATGTTTTACATTCAAGTGAACCCCCATATCGATTCCTCGTCGCAATTAATACAAAATCGCAACGATTAACCGAAATCTATCGAACAGATTTTGAGAACGAACACAATTCTTCAAGCCACATAGAAGAGGCTAGGCTGACACTCTTTCTCAACTTGTAATAAATAGGCCTATCATGGAATTTTTGTCATCGAATCAGTAGTGCACTGTGGTACGGGTCANTTTTAAATGAAAATCTTGTAAAAAACATAATTGGTTTCGTTTGAAATTTTGTTAAAGAAAATTAGAGAAAAATATTGACAAAAACCCGTCCGCAAGAGAAAAACTTTCTAAAGAAAGGCTGAGAAAGACCGAACTAATCTGTTTATATTTGAAAATCGAATGTTTTAATGTGAGATCCGAATTACCCCTGGGTCTAAATAACAATTTAAATATAACGTTATAATTATAAAGTAAAATATTTTTTCATTTTGGTGTGAAAATATCGTTTTTCTAAAGTGGGAAAACTGATAAAAGAGGCACTTCCTTTAACGGAAGCAGACACATCCTTCTGTTTTCCACTTATCTATCACAAATCTCACCACACTGGGAATTGTCGACCCCTCAATAATTCCCCTTTTCATCCGTTCACGTGAGAGATGACAATTAAGCTGATTGGTCACAAATCATGAGATATAGTCAAAGAGCTGCATGATTCGGGGAGTACGTCCGAAGATCTCATAGAGAAATGAAGTAGCCCATATTCGCTCCCTAAGGCCAACGCCCTTAGTTATGATACGGAAAGGATTCAGAGAATACCGACGTAGTCCACAAAGTCCTTAGTCGTATCCAATCGAGTATAATAATGAGTTAATTTAAGAGTAAAAGAAGAAATTTTTAATATTGTGCCAAATCAAGACCTCTCCATGAAACGAAGTAGGATCACCGAATACAGATGAACATAATGACAAAGTAAACTTTGAGGTAGTGTGATTTATGAATGAATTTGTGAGCTCTCTCTCTCGAAGCTTATATTTAATTAATCCATTGTCTCTCATTCGCTTAATTTTATTTTTGAATAATTCCATTTGTGTAATTTTATTTACTTTTATTTTATTAAATCTTTTATTACTGGTTAAAGAAATGTCTCTTATTTGTTATCTGAATCACATCCATATTATCTCCACACGCGTGTTAATCCGCGTATCTAAATATGATTAACTGGTGTCGGGGACCAGACGAGGAAGAAGGTGAATTCGCCATCACCAAATTCCGCTTTAAATTTATTCTAATTGTAAGTCCCTCCGCCCTCGATTTTCCTTGAATTAGGAAAAGCCATCCTTTTGAACGACTGTCAACGCGATCCCTATCGAAGATGTTCGATCTTAGGATTTACATTCATCTATTGGTTTAATCTGAGGCTCTCTCTTTTGTAACAATTCCATCAAACATGTCCTTATATGGGNCTCTCTCGAAGCTTATATTTAATTAATCCATTGTCTCTCATTCGCTTAATTTTATTTTTGAATAATTCCATTTGTGTAATTTTATTTACTTTTATTTTATTAAATCTTTTATTACTGGTTAAAGAAATGTCTCTTATTTGTTATCTGAATCACATCCATATTATCTCCACACGCGTGTTAATCCGCGTATCTAAATATGATTAACTGGTGTCGGGGACCAGACGAGGAAGAAGGTGAATTCGCCATCACCAAATTCCGCTTTAAATTTATTCTAATTGTAAGTCCCTCCGCCCTCGATTTTCCTTGAATTAGGAAAAGCCATCCTTTTGAACGACTGTCAACGCGATCCCTATCGAAGATGTTCGATCTTAGGATTTACATTCATCTATTGGTTTAATCTGAGGCTCTCTCTTTTGTAACAATTCCATCAAACATGTCCTTATATGGGCGTGAAGTTTATACCCTTTCCTTAAATGGCTTTATAAAAATTTAAAAAATATATATATTTTTTTATTTTTTATTTTTAGTGTGGTTCCAGCCCACTTCTAAAGCCNAGAAAAACTTTCTAAAGAAAGGCTGAGAAAGGCCGAACTAATCAGTTTAGATTTATATATAAAAACAAATAAACAAATTTATAGAAACGTGTTATATCGAAACAAAATCTGTGAAAAGAAAAGTGAATTTTTTCCAGCCCATTTTAAATGAAAATCTTGTAAAAACATAATTGGGTTTATTTAAAATTTTGTTAAAGAAAATTATACAAAAATATTGACAAAAACCCGTCCGCAACAGAAAAACTTTCTAAAGAAAGGCTGAGAAAGACCGAACTAATCTGTTTACATTTGAAAATCGAATGTTCTAATATTGTTCGATTTTAAAATTTAAGCAGATATTCTTCGAATTTTCTCTCTTAACCTTCGATCATAATTAATTAGAGATTAAATAAGTGAATTAAAGTATTTTTAAATTTAATTATTCTTTTTATTTCTTTATCGTTGCTTTTATANGTGTTATATCGAAACAAAATCTGTGAAAAGAAAAGTGAATTTTTTCCAGCCCGCTTTAAATGAAAATCTTGTAAAAACATAATTGGGTTTATTTAAAATTTTGTTTAAAAAAATTAGAGAAAAATATTGACAAAAACCCGTTCGCAAGAGAAAAAGTTTCTAAAGAAAAGCTGAGAAATACCGAACTAATCCGTTTACATTTAAAAATCGAATGTTCTAATATTGTTCGATTTTAAAATTTAAGCAGACATTCTTCGAATTTTCTCTCTTAGGCCCTGTACACACTAGGAGTTTTTTAACGCGCTTTAAACGCGCGTTTAACGCTGAGCTAACGCGCGTTAGCTCGGCGTTCGACGAGCGTTAGTTCGGCGTTTAGCACTGGCTCAGTTTGGAAANTTGAATGTGATTCGAATCTTTGCCTTTCTGATAGAAGCGAATAACTTATAGATTGAAGCTAGCAAAATAATTCGTACGTCTTCCGTGTTCTTAATCTTCAAATCGTAATCTTCAAATAAATTTTTTATTTTGGACTAAAAGTAAGTAGTTTTTAATCCCTTCATTAACCGCAATACACAACTATTTATTAATCAGTGAACGTTGGGGAGATATCTGAATTTTACAATTTAAGAAGAATAAATCCACTTATTCAATAACGATTTACGGTGCTCCGATTTTAGAACGATTTCAAATACGCGCGTGCCGAACCGAGCAAATTTTTAAAATCCGCGCGTCCCCGTTTGTCTCGTTCCAAAATCGAAACTTTGCACTTTTCCATTGCGTATATTTTGGTAAAACCTTTATAGAAAATCTTGAAATTTCACACACTACCGAAAAAAAATTAATTAATTTTTCGAACGTGTTATACGAAATTACTTTAGGCGTTTGGAGAGGAGAAAACGATTCCGGAATATCGGCAATTCTGACTTTCCTATATGTAGTCAGTGAGTGAATTGTCAGTGAATTGGAGCGGATTCACTGCCGTAATATTTGATATTTCTAACACCTGTAGATGGCGAAATTGCCAAGGCGGTTAAGGCATCAGCCTATCGCTCTGGGGAATCCGGAATCAAATCCGGGTCCAAATCTGTCACGATATGTCGGGTCCCATTCCTTACTCCTCGGTTGAGGACCTGCTCGAAGCCTCGTTCGACGTGTTTAAAATGCTCTCTTCGTGACCATAAAGTGGGAAGAATCAAATAATAAACAAAAAATCCAAATCTTAAATTAAGACTTACTCGAGCGTGTATCGAGTTTTAAATGCAAATTCTAATTTTTTTTTTTCAATTAAGCAGTTTGCTAGTAAAAGAAATAAAAATATTTATTTTAAAATTAAAAACACAAATGAAGATTTATATATAAAAACAAATAAACAAATTTATAGAAACGTGTTATATCGAAACAAAATCTGTGAAAAGAAAAGCGAATTTTTTCCAGCCCGCTTTAAATGAAAATCTTGTAAAAACATAATTGGGTTTATTTAAAATTTTGTTTAAAAAAATTAGAGAAAAAAATTGACAAAAACCCGTTCGCAAGAGAAAAAGTTTCTAAAGAAAAGCTGAGAAATACCGAACTAATCCGTTTACATTTAAAAATCGAATGTTCTAATATTGTTCGATTTTAAAATTTAAGCAGACATTCTTCGAATTTTCTCTCTTAGGCCCTGTACACACTAGGAGTTTTTTAACGCGCTTTAAACGCGCGTTTAACGCTGAGCTAACGCGCGTTAGCTCGGCGTTCGACGAGCGTTAGTTCGGCGTTTAGCACTGGCTCAATTTGGAAATGGACGAGAAAGTAATTAATTGTGTGTGCTCCTCCATCGTCGCTATAAGGCAGCACATATATCTCAAAGCGCCCGTAAAGTGCCCGCAAAACGCGCGTTTTAACAAAAATCTATAAACGCGCGTTTAACGCGCGCTTGGCGTTTGAGTGTGTACGGCTACATAGAACTCTTGGTTCTTTAAAACGCGCGTTGAAAAACGCCTAGTGTGTACAGGGCCTTA